AGGTTGTCTCAAGCGAAATTCTTGTTTTCACGTGCCGCTAGCAGGAATTCTAATGATGTCTCGCGCGTGCCGCGTCCCGCTCGCAGGAATTCCGAGGATGTCTCGACTAATTTGTTTCTTGTGCAAAGATTTCTTCGGATTGTGGCAGGATGTCTCGAGCGAAATGCTTGTGTTCCTTAATTTGTTGAGGATGGCTCGAGCGAAACGCTGGATTTGGAAAATTGGAGAATGTCTCAAGCGGGGGCCTCGTGGGCAGCCAGAATTCAGAGGATGTCTCAGGCGAAATGCTTGTTTTCACGTCCCGCTCGCAAGAATTCCAATGATGTCTCGTGCGTGCCGCGTCCCGCGCGCAGGAATTTCGAGGATGTCTCGACAAATTCGTTTTTTGTGCCAGGAGTTCCTTGAATTTTGGCAGGACTTGTTTTTCAGAATGTGTCGAGGATGTCTGTGGCGAAACGCTAGTTTTGCAAGATTAGGGGATGTCTCGAGCGGGGGCCTCGTGGGGGGCCAGAATTCAAAGGATGCCGCAGGCGAAATGGTTGTTTTCACATCACGCTCGCGGGAATTCCGAGGATGTCTCGCGCGTGCTGCGTCCCGTGCGCAGGATTTTTGAGGATGTCTCCACGATGTTGCTTGTTCTCCCAGGACTTCTTTTGATGTTGACAGGATGTCTCGAGCGAAACGCTTGTCCCCAGCACGTTCCGTAGCGTGTTCCCTTGGCACGCCCCGCAGTGCGTCCCTACGGTACGTCCCCCGGCACGTCGCCTGGCGCGTCCCTTGAGACGTTCCGCGGCGCGTCCTCCTGGCATGTCCCCCTGTCAATTAGCTCTGGGGCAGCTACTATGTGTTCAGACAGCTCGAGCTGAAGATCCAGATCAATTCGGTCAGGACTCGGATGCAAAGGAGGACTCGATCCACGACGCTGTAGAGCACAATCGCGGCATGGCACATCGCAGTTCAGCACGGCACAGCACAGCACAGACTTCGGCACGGTACATCAAAATCGATACACTCAGCATTGCAACTTGGCACGTTCCTTGGCACGTTCCCCGGGGCGTCCCTTGAAGAGTCCCCCTGGCACGTCGCGTGGCGCGTCCCCTGGCACATCCCGTGGCACATCCATTGGCACGTTCCGTAGCGCGTCCCCTTGGCACGTCCCGCGGTGCGACCCCGTGGCACGTCCCCTGGCACGTCGCCTGGCGCGTCCCTTTGAGCGTTTCGCGACGCGTCCTCCTGGCATGTTCCCCCGTCAATTAGCTCTGGGGCAGCTACTATGTGTTCAGGCAGCTCGAGCTGAAGATCCAGATCAGTTCGGTCAGGACTCGGATGCAAAGGAGGACTCGATCCACGACGCTGTAGAGCACAATCGCGGCATGGCACATCGCAATTCAGCACGGCGCAACACAGCACAGACCTCGGCACGGTACATCGAAATCGATGCACTCAGCATTGCATTGGCCCGTCGCCCAATCAGGTGTCTTTGACACGGTGCCATGTCTTACATTTCTATATTTCTTTCCGGATTCGTGGGTCGATCATGTTTTTAACGTGTCCAGGCCACCCAGGGGTGTATCCAACATGGTCCCGAGCTGGCACCACGTTGTTTTACGTGCCCAGGCCGCCCAAGGCGGTATTTAACATGGCGGAGCCAGGTGATTGAACTTGTCCAAGCCACTTATAGGGGAATCTAGCATGGGCCTCCTGGGGCCTTCCTGGGGGCCTGGAACGGACATCTAACATGAAGATATGTTGAGCATGTCTCGAGAGAACTAATTGTTTTCACGTGTCCAGTTCGCCCAGGCGGATGTCTAGCATGAAGATGTGTTGAATGTGTGTTAAGCGAAACGCGTGTTTGCACGTGCCCAGGTCGCCCAGGCGGATGCCTAGCATGAGGATTTGGGCAGGATGTCTGGAGCGAAACGCTTGTCCACAGCACGGTCCGTAGCGCGTCCCCTTGGCACGTCCCGCGGTGCGTCCCTGTGACACGTCCCCTGGCACGTCGCCTGGCGCGTCCCTTGAGACGTTCCGCGACGCGTCCTCCTGGAATGTTCCCCTGTCAGTTAACTCAGGGGCAGCTACTATTTGATAAGGCAGCTCGAACTTAAGATCCAGATCAATTCGGTCAGGACACGGATGCCAAGGAGGACTGGATTCACAAAGCTGTAGAGCACAATCGCGGCAAGGCACATCGCAATTCGACACGGCGCAGCACAGCACAGCCCAAGGCACATCAAGATCGATACTCGGCATTGCAACCTGGCGCATTCCCTGGCACGTTCCGTGGCGCGTCCCATGGCGAGTCCCCCTGGCACGTCGCGCGGCGCGTCCTCTGGCACGTCCCGTCGCACGTCCATTGGCACGTTCCGTAATTAGCGTGTCCCCTCGGCACGTCCCGCGGTGCGTCCCCATGGCACCTCCCATGGCACGTTGCTTGGCGCGTCCCTTGGGACGTTCCGCGGCGCGTCCTCATAGCAGATCCCCCTGTCAATTAACTCAGGGGCAGCTACTATTTGCTCAGGCAGCTCGAAGTTAAGATACAGATCAGTTCGGTCAGGACTCGGATGCAAAGGAGGACTCGATCCACAACGCTGTAAAGCACAATCGCGGCATGGCACATCGCAGTTCAGCACGGCGCAGCACAGTACAGCCCTCGGCACGGTACATCAAGATCGATACACTCAGCATTGCATTTGCCCGTCGCCCAATCAAGTGTCTTGGAAACGTTGCCATGCCCTACATGTCTATATTCCTTGCTGGGTTCGTGGGTCGATCATGTTTCTCGGAAAGGGCGCCGGACCAGGGTTCTCTTTTAGTACGTTTATTCCCCCCGGAATCGACTTGAAGAGGGCTGGCGAAATTGTTCAACAATAAATAACGAAGTCGAAGAGGGCCTGCGAATTAGAATTTAAGGATGTCCCGAGCGAAACGCTGGTTTTTGAAATTCCGATCCGTAAAACACAAGGTAAAGTAAGCATTCAGGAGTGCGGACGCAGCGGAATTTGCAAGGGATCGTGGCCCTGGGAGCGCGGACGCAGCTTAGTTCACCAGGAATCGTGGCCCTGGGAGCGCGGACGCAGCTAGGGTTGTCAGGGATCGTGTCATAGAGAGGACGCAGCGTAATTTACAAGGGATCGTGACCCTGGAAGCGCGGGCGCAGCGCAATTTACAATGCATCGTGGCCCTGGGAGCGCGGACGCAGCGTAATTTAGAATGGATAGTGGCCCTGGGGGGGCTGACACAATGTAATTTACTGGTGAACGTGGCCCTGGGAGCGCGGACACAATGCAATTCACGAGGGAGCGCGGCTTGGGAGCGAGGACGCAGCGTAGTTTACATAAGATCGTGGCCCAGGGAGAGCGGAGGCAGCGTAATGTGCAAGGGATCTTGGCCCTGGGAGCTCGCGGACGTAGCGTAATTTACAATGCATCGTGGCCCTGGGAGCGCGGACGCAACGTAATTTACTAAGGATTGTTGCCCTGGGGGCGCTGACGCAGCGTAATTTACTTGTCAACGTGGCCCTGGGATCGCGGACACAGCGTAATTCACGAGAGAGTTGCCCTGGGAGCGCGGACGCAGGGTAGTTTACATGGGCTCGTGGTCCAGGGAGAGCGGAGGCAGTGTAATTTACAAGGGATCGTGGCCCCGGGAGCGCGGACGCAGCGTAATTTACGATGGATCGTGGCCCTGGGAGCGCGGACGCATCGCAATTTACTAACGATCCTGGCCCTGGGTCAGGGACGTCCCGCGGCACGTTCCCTGACGCGTACCCTGACACGTTCCCTGGCGCGTCGCCTGGCACATTCCCCCTGGCACGTCCCGTCGCACGTCCATTGGCACGTTCCGTAGCGCGTCCCCTTGGCACGTCCAGCGGTGCGTCTCCATGGCACGTCCCCTGGCACGTCGCTTGGCGCGTCCCTTGGGATTGGGACGTTCCGCCTCGCGTCCTCATGGCATGGTCTCCTGTCAAGTAACTCTGGGGGAACTACGATTTGCTCAGGCAGCTCGAACTTACGATCCAGATCAGTCCGGATAGGACTCGGATGCAAAAGGAGCACTCGATCCACAACGCTGTCGAGCACAATCGCGGCATGGCACATCGCGGTTCAGCATGGCGCAGCACAGCACAGCCCAAGGCACGGTACATCAAGATCGATACACTCAGCCTTGCAACCTGGCGCATTCCCTGGCACGTTCCGTGGCGCGTCCCATGGCGAGTCCACCTGGCACGTCGCGCGGCGCGTCCATTGGCACGTTCCGTAGCGCGTCCCTTTGGCACGTCCCGCGGTGCGTCCCCTGGCACGTCTCCTTGCACGTCCCCTGGTGCGTTCCTTGGGACGTTCCGCGGCGCGCCCCCTGGCGTGCCCACCTGTCAATTAGCTCTGGGGCAGCTACTAGTTGCTCAGGCAGCTCGAAGTTAAGATACAGATCAGTCCGGATAGGACTCGGATGCAAAAGGAGCACTCGATCCACAACGCTGTCGAGCACAATCGCGGCATGGCACATCGCGGTTCAGCACGGCGCAACACAGCACAGCCCTCGGCACGGTACATCAAGATCGATAAACTCGACATTGCAATTGCCCGTCGCCCAATCAAGTGTCTTGGAAACGTTGCCATGCTCTACGTTTATATATTCCTTGGTTACGGCGGCAGGCTTGGACACGACAGCGTGCATTCGGTACGCATTTGAGCAAACCTGAGGAACTGGATGATAGAAAAACACGTTTCTGAATTCCTTTCGAGGTTCGTGGGTCGATCGTGTTAGCCGATAATACTCAGAACGTGTGTTAGCGCCAAAATGTGGTTGCCCTCCGAGGCCCTTCACTACGACGAAGGTGGTGTGACCGACTGGTGAGGTTGAACGGGGTAAACACACATTGGGCTAAAACACTTCCTGCTGATTAATAAATTAGCCGAGAGCTGGCACAATACCGACCTGATCGGGACATCCGTGTGCGGCTCCTGGCCCCAGAGCGCGCGGACGGGGGCGGCACCCAGGTCCTCCTCGTGGCCCTTGATCTCGGTCCCGAGGCGGGCGCTCCTGCCGCTGAGTAGCAGCAGTAGTAGTAGTAGTAGTTGTAGTAGTAGTAGTAGTAGTAGTAGTAGTAGTAGTAGTAGTAGTAGCAGTAGTAGTAGTAGTAGTAGTAGCCGTAGCAGTAGTAGTAGTAGTAGTAGTAGTAGTAGTCTGAAGCTAAGCAGTAGTAGTAGTAGTAGTAGTAGTAGTAGTAGTAGTAGTAGTAGTGGTGGTGGTAGTAGTAGTAGTAGTAGTAGTAGTAGTAGTAGCAGTAGTAATAGTAGTAGTAGTAGTAGTAGTAATCGTAGTAGTAGTAGTAATAGGCGAAGAAGTCGTAGCCGTAGTAGTCGTAGTAGTAGTTCTTGTAGTCGTAGTAGTCGTAGTAGTAGTAGTAGTAGTAGCAGTAGTAGTAGTAGTAGTAGCAGTAGCAGTAGCAGTAGCAGTGGTAGTGGTAGTGGTAGTCGTAGTAGTACTGGTCGTAGTCGTCGTAGTAGTGATGGTATTAGTACTAGTAATAGTACTACGAGTAGTGGTAGTCGTAGTAGTAGTAGTAGTAGTAGTAGTAGTAGTAGTAGTAGTAGTAGTGGTAGTAGTAGTAGTAGTAGTAGTAGTCGTAGCAATTGTACAAAAAAAGTGCTAGAGGACGGTGGTCGGTAAGTAGTAGTCGTAGCAGTAGGTCGTCGTAGTAGTAGTAGTAGTAGTAGTAGTAGTAATAGAAATGGCAATCGTCGTCGCAAACATAACAATAGCAGGTGCAGGAGAAGCGGTAGCAGCAGCAGTAGTAGTAGTAGTGGCAGTAGCAGTAGCAGTAGTAGAGTAGTGGTAGTAGTAGTAGTAGTAGTAGCAGTAGTAGTAGCAGTAGTAGTAGTAGTGGTAGTAGTAGTAGTAGTAGTCGTGGTAGTAGTAGTAGTAGTAGTACTAGTAGTAGTAATAGTAGCAGCAGTAGTAGTAGTAGCCGTCGCCGTCGTAGTAATAGTCGAAGAAGTAGTAACACGAGTAGTAGTAGTCGTAGGCGTCGTCGTCGTAGTATTCCTCGCACTAGTCGTCGTACTCGTAGTACTAGTAGTAGCAGTAGCCCGTAGTCGTAGTCATAGTCGTAGAAATAGAAGCAATACTAGTACTCGTAGTAGTCGTATTATTATTAATAGTAATAGGAATCGTTGTCGTAGTACTAGTAGTAGTAGTAGTAATAATTCATGTAGTAGTGGTATTAATAATGGTGGTAATAGTAGTAAGAGTGGAAGTCGTAGTAGTCGCAGTCGTAGTAGTACAGGTCGTAGTCAACGTCGTCGTCGTAGTAGTAGTTATCGTGATATCAGTAATTGGAAACAGTAGTAGTAATTGTGGTTCTTGAAGCAGTAGTAGTAGTAGCAGTGGTGGTAGTAGTCGTAGAGTACTAGTAGTTGTAATTGGTGATAGTCGTAGTAGAAGCAGTAGTAGCTATAGCCGTAGTAGTAGTAGTAGTAGTAGTAGTAGTAGTAGTACTAGTAGTACTAGTAGTAGTAGTAGTAGTAGTGATGGACGTAGTAGCAGTAGTAGTAGTAGTAGTAGTAGTAGTAGTAGTGGTAGTAGTAGTGGTAGCTGTGGTAATAGTAGTAGTCGTAGTCGTAGCCGTAGTAAAAGTAGTCGCAGTCGTAGTAGTAGTACTGGTAGTAGTAGTAGTAGTAGTAGTAAAAGTAGTAGTAGCAGTAGTAGTAGTAGTAGTAGTAGTGGTAGTAGAATTTACGAGTAGTAGTAGTATTAGTATTATTATTAGTAGTAATAGTAGTAGTAATAGTAGTAGTAGTAATAATAATGAAAGCGGGAGTAGTAGTGGTGGTAGTAGTAGTAGTAGTAGTAGTAGTAGTAGTTAGCAGTAGTAGTAGTCGTCGTCGTAGTAGTAGTAGTAGAAGAAGAAGTCGTAGAAGTAGTAGTAGTAGTAGTACAATTAGTAGAAGTAGTAGTAGTAGTAGTAGTAGTAGCAGTAGTAGTAGCAGTAGTAGTAGTAGTACAATTGCGCTTGCGTGCACGTTGCACTGGCACTTACACACACACACCGCCACGCCCGCGTACAAAAGCAGCCAAAAGCAACGCAGCGCTTGTGTACACTTCCGTGCCTGCGTTCACCACATTATCTGTGTGAGCTCGCCCTGCGTGCACCCCGATGCCTGCGTCCACCACAATGTTTCTGTACACCACCAATTGCTTCAGCAGCAGCAGCAACAACCGTGTGCCCAACGAGGCCCCCGTGTCTGCGTGCATCTCTCGGGGCCTCTGGGCCACGTCGGTCGTCGCGCCTTCGTCCTCCTCCTCCTCCTCCCCCTCCTTCACCGCCTACTTTTCCTCCTCATCCTTCTCCTCCATCTACTCCTCCCTCCTCCTGCTCCTCCCACCACTCCTCCTCCTCCTCCTCCTCCTCCTCCTCCTCCTCCTCCTCTTCCTCCTCTTCCTTCTCCTCCTCCTCCTCCTCCTCCTCCTCCTCCTCCTCCTCCTTCTCTTCCTCCTTCTCCTCCTCGCCCTCCTACCTCTCCTCACCTCCTACACAGCTCCTCCCCCTCCTTCCTCCTCTTTCCTTTCCTCCTCCTCATCCTCCTCCTCCTCCGCCTCCTGCTACTGCTGCTCCTGATGCTGCTTCTCCTCCTCCTCCTCCTCCTCCTCCCCCACCTGCTCTATGGGAAACTGCGCGCGTTCACGCCTGTAGCCGGTTTCCTGGCGTCACCGTTACGTGGGTTGGGAAAGGGTCGGGGGTGGGGGTAACACGCGTTACGTCCGGAAGTAATGAAAACGATGTCCACAGGTCTCGACCCTTTCCCCGGGACCAGCTCCTGAATCGTTTTTTGGCGGCCCCAAGGCCCTGTAGAGGCCTGCAAGGGCTGGAAATAATTACACCTGAGAAACCCCCAATCAGCGGATGATTTGAAAATTAATACTATAGATCTTGTGATCGATTGTGAGATCGATAATGAGATCGATACTGGAATCGATAGTGAGGACGATTCTAAGGTCGATCGTGAGATCGAGAGTGAAATCGATTGAATGAGATCGATAATGAGATCGATCGCGAGATCGCTCATGCGATCTCTAGTGAGATCGCTTGTGAGATCGTAGTGAGATCGAGTGTGAGATCGATGGTGAGACCGATCGATACAAAAAGATCGACCAAGAACCCGGGACCCCAAGAACCTCGCCGCCCTCCGAAATCGGTCCAGAACCCGGAACCGGGAACCCGGGAACCCAGAACCGGGAACCCAGCGTGCAACCAAAATCGGCGGGACACTTTCGCCAAATCCTTCAACTTCCGCGAGGACTCCTTCAGTGCAAGCACTGATTGGGGAATAAAAACTATTCTATCGCGATTGCTTCATGATTCGAGGTCTCAGGGTAAAGATGGGATCCTTACAAAAGGGGCTAGGACGATGATAAATCCGTCACAGAGCGTTCCAGAAAACTCTGAGAGTGTTCCAGAAAGCGCCGAGGAAGCCGCGGTGCTCGATGCATCCTCCAGAGCCGCCGGATCTCAGAGATTCTCGAGATCATCCTCACGGGCTGATATCCTCGTCCAAGCTTCGTCTTAGCTTAGGATGAAGTCGGGCACGTCCCCCCTACAGAGGGATTTTGGGCGAATGTGTTGTTTTCTTTTAAATAAAAATACACAGAACATGCACCGAAAAATGCTGGAAAATACTCAAAAATAGTCCCCCGACTATTTGCTTCTATTTTTGAACATTCCTCCTGAAGAGGGACAGGCCCGATTTAAGCTTAGGACCCCATCTCAACCGTATCGATCCAAGGCTGTCCCTGCGGCGGCCAGCGGCGCATTCGGGACCAGGGGCCCCCCTGCCGCGGGCGCCTGGCCGTCGATTCCTCGATCACCGTCTCCAGCTGCGCGACGCGGGCCTGGGCGTCGGCCACCGCCTGGGTCTTCTCCTTCTGCTGGGCGGAGGGGGTTCTCCTCCTCCTCCTCCTCCTCCTCCTCCGTAGACCGTAGACGTCGTCATCGTCGTCGTCGTCGCCGTCGTCGTCGTTATCCTCACCGTCGTCGCCGTCGCCGTCGCCGGCCGCCGCCGCCGCCTCCGCTGTCGCCGTCGCCGTCGCCGTCGTCGTCATCGTCGTCGTCGCCACCGCCGCCGCCGCCGCCGCCGTCGCCGTCGCCGTCGCCGTCGCCGTCGCCGTCGGCATCATCGTCGTCGTCGTCGCCGTCGTCGTCGTTATCCTCACCGTCGTCGTCGTCGTCGCCGTCGCCGTCGCCGTCGCCGTCGCCGTCTTCGTCGCCGTCGCCGTCGCCATCGCCGTCGCCGTCGCCGCCGTCATCGCCGCCTCCTCCTCCTCCTCCTCCTCCTTCTCCTCCTCCTCCTCCGTCGCTGTCGTTGCTGTCGTCGTCGTCGTCGTGGACGTCGTCGTCGTCGTCGTGGACGTCGTCGTTGTCGCCGACGCCGCCGCCGCCGTCCCTGACGCAGTCGCCGCCGTCGTTATCGTCGTCGTCGTCGTTGTCGCCGTCTGCGCCGTCGCATTCGTTGTCGCCGTCGCCGTCGACGCCGCCGCCGCTACCGTCGTCTTCGTCGTTGCCATCGTCGTTGTCGCCGTCCCCGCCGCCGCCACCGTCGCCGCCGTCGCCGTCGTCATCGTCGTCGTCGACGTCCCCGCTGCCGCCGCCGCCACCGCGGCCGTCGTCGTCGTCGCAGCCGCAGCCGTCGCCATCGACGTCGTCGCCGTGGCCGTGGCCGCCAGCGTCGCCAGCGTCGCCTACGCCGCCTCATCCTCCTCCTCCTCCTCCTCCTCCTCCTCCTCCGGCGCTACCTCAAGCGGAGGGCACACTGTCAGGGAATTGGCCCAAGTTGGCGGAGACAAGCAGGCGGCCGTTGTTTCGCGTGGTGGAGGGTTCGACTCCCTCTCATCACGATTGTTTCTTACAGTCAGGTGTGGCACATGTTTGCCCTCCTGGGTCCGCGTAGCTGGCCCGCAGGATCAGGGTCGGCGCAGCGGGGTCCGCGGAATCAGGACCTGCGTCGTCTCCAGAGGCGAGGATTTCGATTCCTCGCAGCACCACCGGAGCGGCACACCGCCTCAAGGAAGGCGGCCGCGAGTGACCCAGGCGACTTGCCCTTGTCCCGTTCCGTCGCACTTATTTGCCTAAGTGCTCCCTTCGGGGATGCGACTTTCGTTGTCGCTCATGCACAGTTCCCACAGTTCCTCCTCCTCCTCCGTCGTCGTCGTCGTCGTCGTCGTCGTCGTCGTCGTCGTCGACGCCTTCGCCACCTCACCAGCCTGCCCTGTGTGCCTTCCAAGAAGCCCCCCAGACACCTCGTCGCACTTATTTGCCTAAGTGCTCCCTTCGGGGATGCGACTTTCGTTGTCGCTCATGCACAGTTCCCACAGTTCCTCGTCCTCGTCGTCGTCCTCGTCGTCGTCGTCGTCGTCGACGCCTTCGCCACCTCACCGGCCTGCCCTGTGTGCCTTCCAAGAAGCCCCCCAGACACCTCCCCTAGGAGCTCACTAGCGACCTTGCTCCCAAACGTCCAGTTGACGCGGCACCATTAACCCACGTGAGCTCGATGGGCCCGTCGAGTTCTGCGAGCACACTGGCGTCCTCAGTGCCGCGAGCCCATATGGCCCCTCTGAGCCCTATAAGCCACTATGATTCCCATGAGCCTCATAAGCCCTATGACCCCTATTGGCCGTGCGAGCCGCATGACCTCGACAGGGCCCTATGAGTCCTATGAGGCCTGTGTCGCCTGTTAGCCTATGACCTTATGAGCCCTCGCCATGTGGGCCCAATGAGCCCGAGGAGCCTCATGAGCCCTACGAGCCCCGTGAGCCCTGTAAGCCATCTGTCGCCTATGAGCCCCGTAAGCCCTGCGAGCCCTTTGAGCTCTATGAGCCCCATGCGCCCCAACGAGCCGCACGGCCCCAGGGAGCCTCCACAGCCCTATGAGCCCCATGAACCCCATGGGCCATATGAGCCATATGACCCCGACGACCGGTCCTGAACCCTATGAGCCTTATGAGCACGGTGGGCACAATGACACTTATGAGCCCTATGAGCCTCATAAACCCGATGAGCTCGCCAACTCTATGGGGCGCAAAAGCCCCTGACTTCTTTTTGGCCCAGGCCCTTACGAGTCCGAGAACCCCAATGAGCTCATCAGCCCGAGACGCCCTATGCACCAAATTACGCCTGCTGGCCCTCGGAACCTCATGCTGCCCATGAGCCGCGCTGGCATAATAAGCCCTCTACCCAAGTACGGTCCCGAGCCTCTGAGACCCAATGGCGGCGGAGAAGCCTTTGAGCCCTCTGACCCAGTAGAGCCCATGGGTCCTATCAGCCTCATGTGACTCACGGACCCCATAGCCGACGCGCATCGCGATACTGGTGTGAAGTGGTCGCGGCGAGTCTCTCTGGCGCCATGCGATCGAGATGTTAAAAGCGATGCGAAACGAGCATATCAAATCTTACTTGTATTATATACATATATAAATTTATATATATACATATATATATATATATACAACGCAACATTTGGGGTTGCGGAATCTGTCTTGCCCGAAATCGGGCCTGCACAACTCAGTCGGCCACACACACACCCACACACACACACACACGGGCACCTCTGGTTGAGAGACTTCCTGCGAATGTCACAATCTCGTCAAACACCTAGAAAACAAGCAAATCCTTGAATGCACACCCCCTCTCACATTCTTTCACTTCTTCCAACCTCCAACGCCCCGTCGACGTCCCCCCTCTCTTCTCTTCATTCTCCGCCCTGCTACTCTTCCTCCTCTCCCTCACCATCCACATGCAACACCTGTCCATTGAATTCCCGTTCCTCCTATTCTAATCACTCACAACCTCCCCCTCTCTCCACCCTTCGCCCCCTGACTCCCGTCCCCCCTCCCACCACGCAGATCCTTGTCGTTTGTTTTGCACCAACACGACATCTTGTCGTAGACCTCTTCGTCTTCGTCCGCCTCCTTCTCCAACTCCTGACAGGGACTCGACATCACGCGCCGACAGTCCCAGCAGTGCCAGGAGGATAGTGGAGGAAGGATCATCAACAAAAATTGCAAACAAAAACGCATTGGCGCCATCCAAGACCCCAGACGTTATGATTGTTGTCAGAACGACGACACCCAAACGTCTCGCCACCCACTCCCCGGGACCGATTTTTCATCCTGAATCATTTTCTGACGGTCCCAAGGCCCACTACGGGCCGGCGGGGGCTGAAAGTAGTGAAAAACATTCCATCGCGATTTTTTCCCTGACTCGGGGGGGTCTGGGTTGGGAGAGGTGCGGACTTGAACCTCGTCAGTGGTCGTTGACGTGCCGCGAACGCCGGGGCCGCGGGGGGCGCGGCGGCACGGGTGCGCCCCAGGCATGACAGCAGCGTGCCCACGCGTGGACCGAACACCATCGGGATTGTGCGTGTGTCTCGAGAGCGCCACGGGAAACGTGGGGAGACTGCAGGAAACGCGAGTACAGTCGGGGCTGGTTGAAGAGGACACACGAGAGGCACAATGGGACGCACGATATTGTCATCCTTGGAGGCGTCCGTCCGACCCGAACAGATCGTACAACCATCTTGGAGTAGATTGTTTCCCGAGCGGTATGGCAAGAAAGCGTCCGCCACGAAGCGCACACTGTAAGAGTTCTCGGCGCGCGCGTCGCCCATGGGGGGGCGACGAACACATAGTAGTACTGTGTTGGGGTGACGCCGACTGCAGGAAGCGCGAGTCGTCGGGAAAAGGGGCAAGGGATATCGGCGCCGAACCAGGGCAAACCAACAGATGCGACGAGACCAGTGGGGGACGAGCGACTTGCGCGGAGTCATCGCAGCAGGCTGGTCCAGCTGGCGGGGGCAAGCGGAGGCGGCCAAATAAAGCCCGCCACCCCACTGGGGAAACACACACGTCCTGATAATCGCTGCTCACCGAACCTCTCCCAGGGTGAATTCTGACCAGAATTTCGAAGCAAATCCACCGTGGCGACGAGGATACCCTAGGAGACACAACAAAAGCGAAAGCGAAGGAAGGGTAGCAGTATCGGTACCTCTTCCTCCTCTGACCCAAGAGGGCCCCATCCGAAGAGCCCGCCATAGTACCACTCGCGCTGCCAGTGTACGAGCTGGTCGCAACAACCCGTTTGTGCGGTTTCCAGGGGCCGAGCCATGTCGGGAAGCGAAAGGGAACGCCACGGGCGGGCGGCGGCGTCAAAGAGCAAATCAGCGGCGAGTCTAAGTGCCACCAACGTCTCCTCAACCCCCCCCACCTGGAAATGCTACCATCAAGCCCGCAACCAACCACCCAACTGCCACCTCGAAATCCCAGCCAACTCGTCGAAACGGAAGTATCCTCACCCCCACGACCCAAGCTTCATCCAAACATCCCCGCGCACCTAAAACTGGAACGCAAACACATCGGCACACCACTTGGGAATAACTGCACGAAGAGGGCAGAGGCAAGAGGGACGGAGACGCGGGGCGCCGTCTCTTCAAAACGAGGGCCCAACACCACAGAAACGTTGGGGGATGTTGGAAGCAATTTGGCCAACCAGCCTCTCAACTCAGCACAGCTCCAAGAGGCTTGTCTTAGAACGGGAGAGGGTCCCAAGAGGGGCTCCAAAAGAGTACTGAGGACGCGAAGGGCGCCCCAAAACTGGCGAATCCAGTCCTTAGGATGAACTGACCTCCGGCAGGCCCAAGACGGCGCAGAGGAGGGCTCGACAACAAAAGAGAACGCGAGAAAGCTAAGAACACTGAAGACAGCCCACCTTCATGGAATGTTCCTGTGGCCCTCTCGAGTTGTCTCGGGAGGCTCAATGAGTGCTGGGCCCGTCCCGGGGGTCTACCTGGGCGCTCTGGGGACCCTCTTGGGGCCTCATGGGTCGTCTTGGCGTCCTCCTGGATTATTCCAGAGACCATCTTGGGCCGACAAGGGAGGGTTTCGATTGCGAGCGAGGCCCCTACTTCCCCGAACTGAGGCCTGCAATCAACGGTGACAGGCCAGGCCGCCCCGGGGCTCCAGAGATGCACCTGTGCACTACGCGTGCAATAACGGTGTGCGCAAGCTGCGTTTAGGACTGCGCGCCCTTGCCACGGGGCTGCTCTTGCGCTTATAGGAAAGATGCGACGCACGAGAATGAACTTACATCCATACTTCACATGTCCGTCAGCGACGGCACATGGAAGACCAACAACAAAAAAGAAAACACAACACACGACCGACACGACAAACCGTGTGGGAACCAATCTGGGCGGCACGTTGGCTGTGTCAAAGAACCACTGGAACGTGCCTCGCTAGCAACGCCAACGCGATATAAACCGCCACACTCACTAAGGCTGATCATAGTGGATCGAAACACCTCTTTTGCATCGTGGCGCATCCGGTCCACTAATCCAGCCAATGGGAGCGAAACGGTCCTTCTGCATGTCCTTCAGCAGAGCCACGACCTGGCGAAACAGCATGCGCACATACATCAATGATACGTAGCGCGAAAGGTCTTGTTGTGCAACTGAAACGTACGCTTGGACAGCGAATGCGAGTCAGCGATTGATGGCAACTAAAATGTGAATCAGAATGTGGACATCGAACAGACAAACGTGCTACACGTCTTATGCAAAGGCTGGCAACATAATCGCGTTTCCATGCCATACCGGGCATTATCATGCGACGACAGTTAACACAAATCAGCGCTTGAGTCAGGAGGCGTTTCGGAGTTCGACCAAGGGGCCTAAAACACTTTGCACACCAATCCCGAACGCAACCCCAGTAGGGCCCGGACCAACCGACCCTCGCTTGCTAAATCAAAGAATGCGGGGTCGTTGTCGTGCCGGAAACGTGGCCGTGGCAATCACAATCGCCCTACCTGATATGTGTTCGGTTCTGGCAACACTTGCGATTGAACCAGACAAAGAAACTGTATCAATCCTCGCCAACCGCCGGCTACGAATGTCACTGGCAACGCATGCTGAACTCGCATTTCGAATGCCGATGAAGACCTGTCAAATATGATTAGTTCACAATGGAGTTAACAACCACTGAAACAACACTGTCAGTACAAATGTACGTGTATAGGTATTTCTGCGCATGGATATACATATGTATGTATGTATGTGTGTGTGTGTGTGTTCGCGCGCGTGTGTGCGTGTTAACCACGATCGGCCAAATGTGTTTCTACCAGCACAGCGTGCTTCTAACACTTGCGACTGTGTCATCTACGTGGTGCAATATATGCAATGGAATGTGCGTGGTGTTCCCTCTGTATCATTATATGTTCGGGTTGTGCAATAGATGCTGTGCAACCAACGCCGTGTACTATACAGATCTATGTAGAAATATGGACGATCTGAAATGCCACCCTTATGGGGCAATCTATGTGGTGCACCCAGCGTGGTGCAATCTATGAAATGCGAATCACTTGCCGAACTTGAAATTCGCAACTCGTAATCATCCCACCCACCCACCCGCAACTTGGCTTGCGAAATTCATGCGGGGGCGATTGCGATGAGTGCTCAGTGTTGGCTGGTGCATCTCTGCGGCCGCGCTGGCCCGCGCATGTTCGCGCGCGCAGCGGCCACCTAGTTTGGCGCGACCGACGCGAACGCGGTGGCGCTGACCGCTCGGCACATCCCAGCGGGCACTGCAATGCGAGACGGCGGTTTGGGTGGGCGCGGTATCATGGAAGCGTCGACGACCGCAGGCACGATGATGATAGTAGCGATGCTGGTGGCGAGGCTGACAGCGATGATGGGGCAGCCACTGACGGCGCCGATACTGATCACGCCGACGACGATGACGGCGTATTCGCGGCGGTGATGAAGGTTTCGAAAAAATCGAAATGTGCGCGCGGCAGACGCGCGAGAGTGGCTCGCAAGGTATTATTGGACACGGATCGTGGCACGCCAACGCGCGCGCACAGGCGTTCGTACGATTCCGGCATGCGCGCGCGAAGCCCGTTTGGTAGCACTGTATGCAAATATTGAAAAACCTTACGCTTTTCTTGAACATGTGCAAGAACGCGCGCACGCTTTTGTTGAACACCCGCGATGCGAAACCCAATGTTTAGAACTCGATGTTTAAATTTGTTGTTGGGCACTCGATTTTGACATCATTCCGAAACCAACGGTTCTTGAAGGATTTCGGCATGCGCGCGCGACGACGCGCGCGTGCGCACTTCGTCCCACGTGTTGCAAGGGATTCTTGAAAACTTAAAGCTGTTGATCCACGGGGGTGCGCGCATAGTATTGGTTGCAAGGGAACCGAAGTGGGCCGATACCGGTTTGGCTGGGATACTATGACATCAAAAGGTAGGATGGACATTGAGTCATGATCATGCGTGTTCTGCATAAGTTCCCGGGGAATCCACAAGTCCGTGAGGGAGGGTGGTAGAACCTATTTCCATGCTAGAACGGAGAATGTACGGTAAGCAGCAACCATGGTGCAACCTATGTGGTTCAGTCGATGGCGTTGCAATCGTGTTTGTTCGCAAATGAGGTGTCCACCCCACTGTTTGCGCAATCGTCCCACCAACCCACCCACCCGCAACTTGGTTTGCAAAACCAATGCGGCGGCGTTTGCGATGAGCGCATGGGATTTGAAAGTGAAGCGCTGCGGCCGCGATCGGTCGCGATGTTCGCGCGCAGCGGCCAGGTAGCTCTGCGCGACCGACGCGGCCGCGGTGGCGCTGGCCAGTGGGCATTTCCCAGCGGGCACTTCCAGGCGAATCGGTGGCTTGGGCGGGCGCGATAACCTCATGCCCGTGAGAATAAACACTAGGGGATAATAAAGTTCGGGGTTCAGGGAGAGATAATAAAAGTAGCCCAGCAGACCTCAGCATAATCTCGAAGTAAGAGATGATCAAGAGGAGACCAAGCCGAGCACGTTTTGGGAGAGATGATCAAGATGATCAAGATGATCAAGAGATGATCAAGATGATCAAATAAAAGAAATGATAGGAGGAGGAGGAGGAAAAGAAGAAAAAATCTTGAGTTTCAAATCTATTAGATTTTATGTACAAGCGCTTTATGAAAACTGTTGTTTTGTAAGTGCTCGTGTAGGGTAGCTCATGTGCCTCAATTTCCATGGATAATCAACCCCAGAGATAAAAAAGTTCAGGCGAGCGTGGGGACAGAGAGAAATGTAAAAGAAGAGGAATACAGTCGAATAGTAATAAGAAAGAAGAAGAGGATAATAAGAAGAGGACGAAGAAAGGAAAAATCCAAAGTTCCAAATCTATCAATTTTAATTTACAAGCGCTTTATGAAAATTGATGTTTTAAGTGCTCGTGTAGGGTAGCTCATGTGCTTCATTTTCCATGGATAATCAACCCCAGGGATAAAAAAGTTCAGGCGAGCGTGAGGACATATAGAAATATAAAAGAAGAAGAGGAAAATAGAAGAATAATAAGAAGAGAAGAAAAGAGAAGAATAAGAAGAAGAGAAGAATAACGGAAAAATGGAAAATTGATGTTGCTATTTCAACATAGCGTTTCGAGGTGATAATGAAGTTCGGCCTCAGCGCTCGCCGCCCAATTTGAATTTTGTATAGGGCGACGATAATCAACTCTAAACACTGAAGGGGGGGGGGGTCCCTTTATTATCATCGGCATGCGGTTATCATGGCAACGTCGACAACGGTAGACGCGATGTTTATGGTAGCGGCGCTGGTGGCGATGATGACAAAAACGCTGGCAAGGCCAATGACGGCGCAGATGCAGAGCGCGCGGCCGACGCGCGAAAATGGCCCGCATGATACGATTTGGCACTGATCGTGCCCCACAAGCACACACGCCAGGGCGTTCGAATGAATTTAATGTGCGGCGCGAGGGGCCTGTGTGGCAGAACTGAATGAGAAGGTTGGCCAACAGCGTATGGTTGAGGCTTCGCAAACATGTTTGGAAACGGATATTGCAAACCTATGTATTTTCATGTTGTTGGGACACACCATGTTGAAACCCGTGCGAAACCTAAGGGTGTCGTTTCGGTGTCCGCTCGCAACGACGCTCGCGCGCACTTCGTCACAGTTGTTGCAAAGGATCATTGCGACATCGCGCGCGCAAAGACGTTTGAGCCATTCCGACATGCGCGCGCGAGAGGCCCAGTTGTCGACAAGTCTGACACATGTAGAACAAGCAATGGTGTTGTCAAACAAAGACAAATGTCGCAAAACTGTGTATGATTATAGGTTATCGGAGACTCGATTTTGAAGTCCTTACGGAACCTGTTTTCCTGGAAGGATTCCGGCATGCGCTCACAAAAACGTGCGCGCGTGATCTTCGCTCCGTTTGTTGAAAAGGGTCCGTTCTGTCCGGGGGGGGAGATCCTTTTACTCTGTGTGAAAGAAAATCTACGCGTTACAAAATAATTTCTGTTCGCGGCGAGTTGTCCACTCCACTGCTGGCGCAATTTTCCCCCCCGCCCCCCCGCGAGTTGGTTTATCAAACCCACGCGGCGGCGTTTGCGATAAATGCATGGGGTTGGTTGGTGCATTTCTGCGGTCGCGTTGGCCCGCGCACGCTCGCGCGCGCAGCAACCAGATAGTTCGGCGCGACCGACGCGGCCTCGGTGGCGCTGACCACGTGGCATTGCCAAACGACCACTTCAATGCGAGTAGGCGACTTGGGCAGGCGTGGAATCATGGCAACGTCGATGACGGTAGACGTCATGATGATGGTAGCGATACTTGTGGAAATGATGACAACGACGACGGCAAGGCCAATGACGGCGCCGAGGCTGATCATGCCGGCGACGATGACGGCGCCCTCGCGTCGGTGATGAAGGTTTTGGACGGAGTTCGATATGCGCGCGCGGCCGACGCGCGGGAATGGCCCGCATGATATCGACACCGATCGTGCCAGCCCCCAGCAGGCGCGCCAGGGCGTTCGAATGATTTCGACGTGCGGCGCGAGGGGCCCGTCTGGCAGAATTTCATGAAAATGTTGGCCAACAACCGAAGGTTTTCTTAAGAATTCGCAGGAGCGCGAGCGCAGGCATGTTTCAAAACTGATGCGGCAAAACCATACGATCTTTCATATGTTTTCGGGACACTCGATCTGGAAATGCGGATTTCGGCATGCGCGCGCGACGACGCCGGCGCGTTCATCTCGTCTCTTTTGTTGCAAAATATTATTGCGACAACACGCGCTGAAGGGCGTTCGAACGTTTCCGACATGCGCGAGCGCGAAGCATGTTTGGTCCCAAGTTATGGACACATGTTGAAACACCGATTGTTTTCTCCAGCATTCGCAAGAGCCCCAGCGCAAGTTCGTTTGCGAAAGCTTGGGTTGCGAAACAATCCTATGCTATATGATTTCGGGACACTCGATTTTGAACCTGAGGTTTTTGAAAGATTTCGGCATGCGCTCGCAACGACGAGCGCGTCTGCACTTCGTCTCATTTCTTCTGCAAGGGATTCCTGAAAACGGATGATTTGGGATAAACGAGTGCGCGCACA